AATTATGGCGAAGGTTGCTCTCTGGGCTCTAGAATAGCCCAATCTTATTGTCGGCCCAACGCCTCAACAAATTAACAACTGTTTCTTCTAGAAAAGATTACATATTAATGAAAATAATTTCTAAATTGGAAAAATATGATGTGTAGGAACTAGGAAACTTGAGGGTACTCAATTGAGATTTTTAGAGACTCTTTAAATTGGGTGATTTTATTGGACTTTTGTAAATCTTTTATGACTTTTACAGACATATCGAGACTTTCAAACAATTCTTATTCGAGACTTTAAAAGAATTCTCATTTTCAGGTGATAACATACTATATACAGTTTGGCTAGAGCGTGTTTGTATAAAATATATTCGCTCAAAATGAGTTTTTTTTTTTTAAAAAAAAAATAGGTTTAATATTGAAGAAGTTGGTATGGTTAGTTGTTAGGGCATCTTTAACGGGCGATTTGTGCACGGGTTTGTAAACTCAAACCTGGAGATTTAGGGCGCGATTGGATATGAACCGGGCTTAATTTTTACTCACTTTGGGCTGGATTTCACTGTCGAAACCGTGATTGGATATCACAAAGATTGCTTTTTTTCGTGGCCCACAAAAACCGAACAACAGCTTGTATCCGTCAGAATTATCTGCTTTTCCCACTCCCAATACACCAACACCTCCTACAACATTCATTACAATGCTCCATCTTTTTGACTTTTTTCTTGTAGATTTCAAATCGAAGTTAGCTGGAACATATCAACACAAGATTGTCCTCCATAAATTGGGCTTCAATCGCCTCAGCGTCTATGGATCTCTCCCCTCCACGAAACCATCCTTCGACCTCACGTGAAGCGGACGCTGAACGAAGACCCGATATCCCGGCTCAAGACACTACCGAAAGCACCGGTAGCGTCTCCGTCACATCTCCGAAAAAGAAGAGACTCCGGCCAACAAAGGTAGATCATACCCTTCTTACCCTCCATTGATTTGTATTATGGAAAAATATCGTTCAAGTTCAAGGCACATGCCTGGAATGATTTTTGTTTGTATGGAAAAAATTGGGAAAAAAAAAGGAAACAGGGCTTTTTTGTAGTTAGGAGATTGTTTTGATTTTGTTATACAGACATTATTGAAGTTTATGTTATGGTTGATCTTACAACCCTTCGCTACAAAATTTGGGGCTATGTAAATAGAGACGATACCCAACAATCTTCGTTGATAGTTATTTCTGTCCTCGTTTGAGTGTACAAAAAAAAATTAGGGTATGACCTAGGGTAAAAAGACGACACCCAATCGTTTGTTTCAGGTGATAACACACTATTTACAGTTTGGCTAGAACGTGTTTGTATAAAATATATTCGCTCATATTGAGTTTTTTTTTTTTAAAAAAAAAAAATAGGTTTAATATTGAAGAAGTTGGTATGGTTAGTTGTTAGGGCATCTTTAACGGGCGATTTGTGCACGGGTTTGTCAACTCAAACCTGGAGATTTAGGGCGCGATTGGATATGAACTGGGCTTAATTTTTACTCACTTTGGGCTGGTTTTCACTGTCGAAACCGTGATTGGATATCACAAAGATTGCTTTTTTTCGTGGCCCACAAAAACCGAACAACAGCTTGTATCCGTCAGAATTATCTGCTTTTCCCACTCCCAATACACCAACACCTCCTGCAACATTCATTACAATGCTCCATCTTTTTGACTTTTTTCTTGCAGATTTCAAATCAAAGTTAGCTGGAACATATCAACACAAGATTGTCCTCCCTAAATTGGGCTTCAATCGCCTCAGCGTCTATGGATCTCTCCCCTCCACGAAATCATCCTTCGACCTCACGTGAAGCGGACGCTGAATGAAGACCCGATATCCCGGCTCAAGACACTACCGAAAGCACCGGTAGCGTCTCCGTCACATCTCCGAAAAAGAAGAGACTCCGGCCAACAAAGGTAGATCATACCCTTCTTACCCTCCATTGATTTGTATTATGGAAAAATATCGTTCAAGTTCAAGGCACATGCCTGGAATGATTTTTGTTTGTATGGAAAAAATTGGGAAAAAAAGGAAACAGGGCTTTTTTGTAGTTAGGAGATTGTTTTGATTTTGTTATACAGACATTGTTGAAGTTTATGTTATGTTTGATCTTACAACCCTTCGCTACAAAATTTGGGGCTATGTAAATAGAGACGGCACCCAACAATCTTCGTTGATAGTTATTTTTGTCCTCGTTTGAGTGTACAAAAAAAAATTAGGGTATGACCTATGGTAAAAAAACGACACCCAATCGTTTGTTGTTGTCTTCATTGTTGAGGAATATGTTGTGTAATTCTGTGAATCTCCAATTCCGAGTGTGGCAGTTGTTCTTATGGTACCTTTCTTTTTGTTTGTCCGAAATGCAAATATGATTGCCCGACTATCCATTAGTACAGATTATTTGTACATGTTAAGCATAGCATACAAAATTGTACTTTGTTTGTTAATTCTCATATTGTAGATGTCATTTTCGGGTGGTATTGGTCCTTCGACTGAGAGCACTCAAGGAGACGCCAAATGGCCTCCTGAAAATGAAGCCGCTTTTGTGAATGTTCTGTTGGACGAAGTTCTGATGGGAAACCGTGTAACCGGTAAGTTCACACCGAATCAATGGACGACCATTCTTGCGAAGTTGAAGGAGCAGTGTCCCATTTTCTATCCTTACAAAGTGACACAACTGCAAAGTAAGTACCAACGAATGAAGGTGTATTGGAGAAAGTTTCACAACATGGTAACCAATGCCACCGGATTGAGTTGGGATCCACATAAAAAGATGATTACGGGAGACGCTGATTGTTTTAGAAAATGGACTACCGTAAGTATTTTTTATTATGTTTTGTTACAAGTGTTTCCTATGTTCAATTTTAATTTGTCTGACAATTGTTATTTGGTTGCTTCAATTGTGTTGCAAATATGTGTGGCAATTACACCTGTTGTTATTGCCTTCTTGTCTCACAAAGTGTTCTTTGCTTTAATTGTCTTTGAGATATTACTGTGGCCTGTACACCTCTTCTTTTTTATTTTGTTTTATTTTTTATATATAAATATGAAATATTTCATATCAGATTGTAGTGTGGATTCTATTGTAGTAATGACTGTCATTTTATATGTCATGTACTGCTTGGGTGGCCTGTACACTCCATTTCTCATTGTTTTATAACGTCCACAGGCAAATTCGAGTTATCATGACATGGAGGGCAACTCAACGTGTGCCCGAGGGACGTGGTGAGCCATCTGGAAATTTCAGCCCCGATGTTTTTACGCAGCAAGAGGACGATCCAATGGAGACCCCGACATCTCATCGACGGCATGGTGGGCAGAATCGGTCCGTTCGTCAAAGGAGAAGCACAGAGTCCAGTTTAGACACCGCCATGTACTCGTGGTCTGACTTGAATGTGTCGCTGGAAGAAAGAAACAACAAACCCGCGAAGCTAACGACGATGGAACAGGCAATGCGCGACCTTCAAGCAATGCCGAATATGGACGAAGATCTTTTCCAGTTTGTTTGCACTAGGCTTCGGGATCCCACGAATCAAGCCATGTTTGCCGCGATTACTAGTGACAAGAGGCGTCAACATATTATTAATATGTGGATTAATGAGGGCCCCGGTCCACAGTGAATGTGGATGTTGATTGGTTTTTGCTATTGTCTTCATTTCTTGTTGGACTTTTTTGTTCTTTATTTGTCTTCAACTCTACTATGTTTGAACATTGTTTCCAAGCTACTCTGATTGAGATTTTTATTACTGCATGATTATGTGACAATTTGTTTGTGAACATTTGTAAATGTGTTTTTAGCCATTATTATATTTATTTGTAGGATGTTTTACGTAGATGATAGCGACACATATGAAGAGGAGATCGATGATTTGCCTGAGGATGTAGACAGCGAATTCGAGACCGTGGAAGAGCACGACCCGTTTGAAGCTTCGTTAATGATGGGGGCCCAATTTCAACAACTTGTAAACATTTACGAGAGTTCTGCGTCCGTATTTCCCCCATTAAGAAGAATCCCCTACCGAGAATCCACGTACTCGAGTTTGGACTGGGTAAATGAATTGTTAGCTGGAAATCCTCGCCGATTTAAAGATGCAATGGGCATAAATCAATGTCATTTCACCATCCTTTGTGACGAAATCAAAAGGGCTGGATTCGACCCCAAAAGAAGACAAACAAAAATAGGCATTGAAGAAAGCGTAGCCATTTTTCTGCATTACAATAAAAGGGCATCAAAGGCAACGATTTGCAGCTGAAACATTCAGAAAATCAGGAGAGACAGTCAGTCGTCATTGTCACAAAGTCATCAATGCTCTTTGTTATCTCGCCCCCGACTACATTCGTCCCCCAGACTTCAACCGTGTTGCACCGTGGATAAGAAATAATCGGAATTTATATCCTTACTTCAAGGTAAATTCAAGACCTTTTCATTTTTTAATGTGTCCTACACCGTTAATTTGAACAAAAAGTACCTCTATTGTTGAAATTGTATCTGCTATTCGTAGGACTGCATTGGTGCAATTGACGGGACTATTATACCTGCGTGGGTGCCAGAAGGACAACATGGTTCCTAGATGTAGGAAAGGGTATTTGGCGCAAAATATGATGTTGGCGTGCGATTTTGACCTTAAGTTCACTTTTGTTCTAGCGGGATGGGAAGGCAGGGCAAACGATGCACGCATTTTCAATCAGACGTTGTCGGACCCTAGATATAATTTCCCCTATCCACCGCCCGGTAAATTGACCATGACACTATTAAATGTTATACTGTAGTTTAGGTAAATACAACTTAAAATCTATTTATAACTTCCTTCCATTAAGTAAAAATTGTATGTTCATGCAGGTAAATTCTACGTGGTGGACTCCGGATATGCACACATTCCGGGTTTCATGACACCATATCGTGGTGAAAGATACCATCTTCCGGAGTGGTTGGGGTCTAACCAATTGCCTGGAAATGCTCGTGAGTTGTTTAACAGGCGACATGCCACTGTCCGTAATGTTATCGAATGCAGCTTTGGTTTGCTAAAGGGAAAGTTTCCAATGATAAAGGGGTTGATGCCAAACTACAAAGTTCATTCCCAAACCGATATAGTAATAGCATGTTGTGTCCTACACAATTTTATTCGGATGCATGAACTGCTCGAAAACATGCCGCCTGAATTCAGCAACCCAGAATACGTACGACGACATGATCCAACTGATCGGACTTTCCCTTTTATGTCGAGTAATAACTCCAACGTCGGCGGTGGTGAGCATTATGTGTTGCGTGACAGCATAGCCCAAACGCTATGGGCGAACGAAGATAAGAACATCGTATGTATCGATAAACCTGTTGTATGCGCACTTCTATTAATTAAAAGCAAAAGAGACCAATATCGGTGTTTATTTTTTATATCTAATCATGCTTCATCTTTAGTATGTACTAATAACAACTTTTTGAAGTAAGTGTCATGAGTAAAACCATGTTTTGAATTTTAAAAATTATACTGTATTTTGTCTCTGTGGAAAATTGAATTTACGGTGTTGACGATTATGGCCTTCATATATAGTTACGGTGTTGGCCAAATTTGACGTTATAATTAATATAAATTTTTTACTAATTATAAAATAATAGTTATAAATAATTGCAACTAAAAAAAATTGAAGTAACAAAAAAAATAAAAAAATAAAAAATGAAGTTGCTATTACCAAACGAATATAGTGCATACATATATAAAGTAACATTTATATTAATAAAGTTGTCAATAATTGCGTTGAGTTAAAAAAAAATGTTTGCATGTGAAAGCACAACTCTATTTTTGTTTACATTATTTCCATGCATAAATAGATATGGCACATACGCCTTTTGAGGGAAATGAATAAATAGGGACTGAGTTGAAATGGAACAAGACGTGGGTGAAGTTCATTGCTTCAGTACGACCCATTTTCTTTATATAAAAATGGGGGCCCCACATAATTCCCCTTACCCGGTACCACACCCCCAATTTATACAAATTTATGTGTGTATTTACTCATACAAGTACAACCATCCTATTTATTACAAATTAATGTGAATTCAATTTGAGTTGCTTTGAAAATATGTGTTTACGTTGTAATAATTTTTGTGTTCGTTGATAGATTTTTGACGCAAATAACCGTGTTCGAGATTTGTCCGTTGGAAAAAAAAAAAAGAAAAAAAGTCAAGTATATTTTTTGTTTAAACCTTACTAAAATAATAATATATTTTATATTTATGAAAAGACACGTAAATCGACCATGACACACATTTCGGGTTTCATGACACCATATCGTGGTGAAAGATATTATCTTCCGAAGTGGTTGGGGTCTAACAGACGACATGCCACTGTCCGTAATGTTATCGAACATAACCGAAGACTACAAAAT